AAAGAAAAAAAAAAAAAAGGTGTATATGGGGGATATTTGCCATCAGTCTAAAAAGCATTGCCCCTTCTTGAACAGGAGGTATTTCAAAGCATTCTGCCTCCCAAAAGCATCAAGCTTTCTGCCACAGCAGTAGCTCCATTGTGTGTGCCATGGTCTTGTTAAGTAGTCCTTATGTTTGTTTGTAGTGTCAGTTTTAGAATGCATTAAAAAAAAAATGGCTCTATCCTGAATGTCCCCTTGTAGAATTCATTTTTTTAAGTGGTTTTAATCTATCATTTCTTGTAAACATTTTCAAAACTCTTGGCTTCAATGACAACTGAAAAACCAGGTCTCTTGGGCATGCAGTTGTTCCATACTGTGGCATTAAAGCAATACTTTCTAAAGTCAGCTGAATGACTCAGGCTGACCTGCTTAACTACACCCGGAGCTTCAGCCAGATGAAACTCGTAAAACCAAAACAGCAAGGTTTGTCTTTTTGCTTCTCTTGAGCATCTCAGAACAATGTTGTCAAGCATTCTGAAAAACGGGCTCTATTCTGTCCTTCCATTAAATCTTTAATTCTGAGGATTTCAAATATTTTTTTCAGATTTCAAAAGAAAAGAAGAAAGTGCAGGTAACCAGCAGTCCACTATGCCTGCTCCACTGAACTTAGACACTGCAATTATCCCTGCATGTAGGAAAAACCCCAAAAACACAACAGATGGATTTATCTGTGCAGTGATAGTCCAGAGCTCTTGTATTCTTCACATTCTGGCATGCACTTCTCAATACTGCTCTGACAATTAATTATCTCCTTTACATACTGTAAAGTATATTTGAAGACTAAGACTTATTTACAGCATTATGTTTCAAATTTGTTGAACTCCTTAGTCCTTATTCATAGGATTCTGAGTCTTTGGCAAGACGTATTTGTTTGACTTGGCATTTAAACTTCTTTTTGGCTTTTATACTATTCGATAGTAAAGTGCCCTTAGCAGTTTGCTTAAAAGCTTGCATGGAAGTTTGGGTTTGAATGACTGAACTGAATGAATATTATTTGCCTTTTCACATTCTCTTCCCTAATAATAAAGGAATCTCTGTTGCAAAAATAACTGTGAAGTTCAGCTTACAAAAAGGTCCTATCTCAACAATCCTGACAATTTTGTGCTTTTTGTTTTTTCACCCACAAAATAGGAACTGCACTCGGGTTGATAACTGCAGAGCTATTTGCTGTGTCACTCTGTCTGCTTCAGTGCTGTCACATGCAGTCATACCATACAATTCTTTTTGTGAACTGATCGAGTTCCATCTTAAAAGTTCATTTCCCCTCCAGCTGCTCCAAATGGAAATACAAAAGCCCTTCAAGATTTCAATAATAACCTGTCTTGCAGTCTTGACCTGGAGACACTCCTTGTTTTTCATAACATTCAGAAAGCTGACTTTTTCTGAGATTGTCAATGTGGATGCCAATGACAGTAAGATCTGTGCTTTGGCTTTATCTCCTCAGACAGTATATATTTTAAGTGAAATGTTGATCGGACACTTATTTTGCAAGAGCTTTCAGTCATTATGCATCCTAGCCAGATTTACACTGGCAACACAGCACAAGGAGTAATTCCAAAATCCATTATTTTGTCCTGAGTCATCAGCCTGCACCAAACCACTCATTTTGTTATGAAAAACAAGAACTTATTTACTTTCAAAAGTGTTCAAGAATTCACAAAGCACATTTTACAGATTAACCGCTACTGCTAGGTCACAGTAGTTATTTTGGCAATAATTTTTCGTATTTGTACTTAGAAATGCAAAATTTAGTGATTCTGCAAATTCATTTCAACGCTGTTTGCTGCAATGCCACACCTATGGATTCCCTCTTTTGGGAAGTGACATCTGAAATGAGGAAAGGCCTTTTAAAAAATATCCTGCACATCCAAGGTCCAATAACATTTAATATTTGAGCAAAGCTCTAATTAGAGCCCATAGGTTCTAACTATGAAAGCTCACACAGTGGTTTTCAAAATTAGAGAGAAACTTCCACTTCTCATGTCCAAACAGCACTCTCAAGAGCAATGGGACTTGAAACAAAAGAAATGAAATGGAGTTTGACTACCTGAGCTTATTTTAAAAAAAGACGAGAGAAAAGCTAATAACACCAATGTGATGGTCCGTATATAACACATCCTCAACACTCCAACTCTAAAGTATTTTTACTGTCTCTGTTGTATTATCTACATAAACTGTTGCTCAGACTTCTCCTTTGGTGGACACATTTATCTATAACAACATAAAATATGCTTTTGACACATGCTTTATGTGTTTTATTAACTCTTCTTCTCCCTGAAGGCTTTAAGGAATTCTGAGAAATGGGTGGTCTTGGATGCTCTGCTCTGCCTTTCCTCGCTTCACGGGTTTAGTCAAGACCAGATTAATATTTTGTTTGCCAAATCTTACATTTAGTTGCTTTTACTGTGTTCAATTGAAGG